CCTCTTACTTAGATCACAGCCTCTTTCAGGTAAGAACCAGCCTATTCCGAACAGAAAACCATCTTAGAAATTACAACCAAAAATAAACCCCCTTAAAAGCTCAGTCAAGCTATAATATGAAAAGAAGTATTTAAAGAATGCATTGTAAAATCAAAATTCAAAGAGCTCAAGGAGTTGTAGAATAAGGAATGTGTTTAACTGCATAATGGAAGTGTCAAGACTTTCCTTCCAGAACCTGAAGGGAACCTGCAAGAAAGATGGAAAGGGACCTTTTATGAGAGTATATAGGGACAGGACATGGGGGCATGGCTTCAAACTGAAAGAGAGTAGGTTTAGATTAGACATTAGGAAGAAGTTCTTTGCTATAAAGGTGGTGAGGCACTGGAACAGATTATCCAGAGAAAATTTGGGATGCCCTATCCCTGGGGTTCTCCAGGCCAGGTTGAATGGGGCCTTGAGCACCCTGGTCTAGAGGAGTGTCCCTGCCCATGGCAACAGGGTTGGAACTAGATGATCTTTAAGGCTCCTTCCAACTCAACCCATTCTATGATTCTACGCAGAAAACAAAGGTAAACTTATTTTCAAAATTACAATGAAACATAACCTATAATCTTTAGGCTTCATATCATCTATAGAGCTTTGTACTTGATTTCAAAACTGTGTAAAGAAGAAAAAAATCCTCAAGTGTGATAGTTATCAAATGTTTTATAATGCAGAAGCTTTAAAAAAATCTTAAAGTACTGCTTAAAATGACACACCTTGGAAAAAATATTAATCAGATGAAATAAAATTAAATTTACCATCTCATATGCAGATTGCTTAACTATTCAGCAGAATTCAGCAAAATCTCTGAAGAGATCCTGTAATAAAGTTCAAATGTACATAGGATTTCTAGCTCCTGTTGCATTAGGAGGCAGAAACATTTTAGCCTTAGTAGAGCACGGAGCCAGCCATTATTAATGAAGCTATCTAATGGGCTGAGCCTTAGCCACACATGAGAACTCAACAACAGATACTTCTGTCCTCCATAAGAGCCAGCTTTTCAGGACCATGAATGCATAATATTTAACTGTTCAAAAGTAAAGTGGTAGTTAACTCTCAGCTGATTCCCCTGCAGTTCTGAACAGCATTGCACTTGACTTTTAAAACAGGAAGGATTTCCATTATCTAACTGAAGTGCTAATGTTCAGTTTCCTTAATGACCTCAGAAGATTTAATAAGCAATTTATTTAATTCCTGTACAGCAGACACATATCTAGCTGACAACACGTCCACTTATTTTGTTCATTTTCTTCCTTAAAGGCTGGTCACTCTGTAATTTTATATTACACTGCAAACAAGCCCTCCAAATACGACACTAATATTTTGCTGGCTCTGAACTCAAGAAGAGTACATTCATGTAATACAATGGCTCCTCTTCAGGGAACTGGGATAAGGAGTCTGTCAAAGTGAAGGAAATATTGAGTGAAACTCCCTGTAAGATGATATTGTAGAAACAAAAAGGAAAAAAAGCAGGCAAGTGACATGTTAAGTGCAGAATATGGTCTGAAAAGATGACCACGTTCTGATTTTCAGCTGGTCATGTTGAAGTGTACGTTGCACTTAGGCCAAATATACAAACCAGTCCGTTGTGCAGGTAGGGGCTCAGCCCAAAGATCTCAGGAAGACAGAAGAATGAAGTGCTCCAACACTTCTGCTGGATTATCGACACACGCTTAATAAGCGTTGGGTTTTCTGCTACTGCTTGGAAAGACCAGATTGTTATTTTACCCTTTAGGGTCCAACAAGGTAGGGGAAGTTTTAAATTTTCAACACTTCATAAGTCTCAACCACCAGCTCCAAAAGAATGGACTGAGGAGCTGAGAACTATTGGCAATTAACATTTAATGAATTCTTTAACCCTGAAGGATATGTTGGCAAATCAGGGCAGGAACAAAGAGGTATGTGACACTGATGAATTTTATCCAGGATCAGAGCTAATATTCACACTGCCAGCTGGGAAGGGTAAGGAGGAGGCTGATAATAATGAGGTAATAATCAGGCGAATAGGACACATCCTTCTGAACAATGCCAACCCACAGGACTGATGGAAAGTCCCTCTTGTCAAGCTAGTTAGCAAGATTCACGGTGACCAGACAAAATTAACCACTGCCTAAAGCTATGGGCCATTGTTAAGGCATTTCGCTTTGCACTTGGGTGACACTCAGGCAAAAGAAAAAAGTGGGGGGGGGCGGGGGAAGGCAAAACGACAGATCAATACAGCACTTAACCAAATGTAGCAAAATGGGACTTAAGAGCATCCTTGAGTCATCCTTGGTGGGATTCCAGTGGAATTTTTCTTTGCCTTGACACTGTTCATTAAAAAAAAAAAATTAAAATCCCACAAACAGAAAACTAGGAGGGGTTTTGTTCATTTTTAGACTAGAAGATGGAGGACACTAAATTATGGAGTATTTAGATTAGGCAGGAACCTGGGGCATTGAAGCCACACACTGACCTGGAATACACAAATACCAGTCTCTTTTGCAAGACAGTGAACCTCTAATTCTTTGGGGGAAACCAAAATTTTTGTATCCACCCTCAGTTTAGAACATCTATAGCCTAATTTTAAAACTAAATAACCAACGTCTATAAGCAAGGCAAAAAATCCTTGGTTTTTGAGCTTTAGACCAATCTCACGTCAGGGCTTTACTAAGGAATCCTGCCACCTGCCCTGTGCAGAATGAAGTGATGCTGCTCACACTATGGAGCCACCTCAGCCAGATACAAACAGCTGCTTTCTTCCTATGTACCTCTCCTAGGACACCACAGAGTGTACTGTTTTTGGTGGATCCAATGCACTAGAAGGCAGTCAACTGATTTAAATTCACATACTTGAATTAACAGACACACACGCAAAGAAAAACAGAGACATGTATGAGGGGAGGCCAAATTGTTTTATTTAATTTTTTAGTGACCAATTGAATTTTGGCAGAAAGCTCTGCTCTTTTTTTTGGTTGGGTTTTTTTTTAACTTTTTTAAAGAAATCAGCAGTGCTCAAATTGGTGGGTTGGAATTTCAGTCAAATTCCACTTAATTTGAAAAATGAACAGATGAACAGGAATTCCAGATAGTTTCCAGAGCAGAGGGCAAAACTTCACATTTGTATGAAAATTCCATGTTTGTACGAAAATTCCATGTTTGTACTTGATTGGGAGACAGAATGTAAAACTATTGTCAGTAGTGCACGAACATTCACATTTGATCTGGAACCTTAATCAGAAAGCTGTACTCTCCTTCTGAAATTTTCATTGCCTTGTGCAAAGCAAGTCAAGTCTTCATGTGTCAAACACACACGTAAAGTTGTCCATATTTTATATACAAGACATCTACCAATCAGGCAGTGCAAAATACATCCTTTCATAACAAAACTAAAATGTACCTCTCAAAGTATGAACAAGAATATACACATAATACAAGATGTACATTATTTACACAACCATAAAAAATATAATACAAGGATTTTTTTTTTTTTAATGTGATTGTAAGACTTGACAGTCTTTTGCAATTTTTGTTGCAACAAGGCATGTTTAAGTTTCCTGGATGGAGTTTTCTTTGCCAATTACTCAAGAGATTTTGGAAACTACGCTTGAACTTTTAGGAGAGTTTTCAAATGGACGGCCATCAACTCCCTGTTTTGGTCAGACAGTTCAGCTGTGCCACCCACCCAGTGGCTGGGAGGCTTTGGAAGGACACTGGGAGATGGTGGGTCACTAAACTTTGCCCCAGCGTAATTTTCTTTTTGGCTCACTTCATTTAGGGCAATAGGTTTCTTGGACTTGGCATTTCTGAAGTTCTCTGTATTTTTAAGTGGCTTTTTCTCCTGCTTCTGAACTATTTCCGGCGACACAGAATCCTGCCAAAAGTTCTCTATCTTTTTCGCCGAGGCGATCTTCGTCACTGGCGTGTTACATTTACTCTTCTGCCTGTTCATCTTTGGTTGTTCACACAGGTGTAAGCTGTGAACGGGCTGGCCGTAGGGGACGGCCGCCTTCTCTGTCTTTCCCATCTTGTTTTTTAAGAACTGCGGAGACAAAGTAGAGTCACATCAACCACGACCCCTTTCTTCCGCGTTCCCTCACCGCCCCCGACACTTAGTGAGGCGCCGGGGGCCACCTCGGCAGGGGGAGGGGTACCGAGAAGCCTTCTCCCCGCTCTTTCTCGCTTATCCCACAGCTCATCCCACAGCTCAGCTGGCACAGGCGGCCTGAGGGCGCGGAGCCCCCCCCGGCCGCCATGGGGCGCTGCGCGCAGGGCACGTCCCGCCTTCGCTGGGCGCGGGGCGGGGCTGGCGCGCGGCCAGCGGCAGGGCTAAATCCGGCTTGTTGCTGGGGCGCAGCGCCGGGCGCTCATTGGTGGGCGCAGGGCAGCCAATCGCAGCCCGCGGTTCGACCTTCAGTCCCGCCCCGCCCCGTCCGAGCGTAACGGAAACTCTGCCGCCCCCCCGCCCGCTCCCCCCCTCACCGCTCTGAGGGGGCGCCCCGCTCGCTGTTTCCCCCCCAACCCCGAGGGAAAGGGAAAACGGTCGCCCAGCTCCGGGAGCGGGCTGAAGCGAGAAGAAGTAGCGCAGCCTTGTCTTTACCTCCTTCCTGAGGGGTTTGCCGGGCGCGGGTCTCGAGGGGGCAGGTGCAGGGGGCTCCTCTGGGGGGGCGTCCGTCACCAGGTCGGTTCCCAGCGGCGTCCTTCTCCCCAGCCCGGCGCGGTGCTGCTGGTACTGCTGATAGCGGCTAGGCAGGAGCCCCGCGGGGCCAGGCCGGATCTTTCCCTTCCTCCGCCGCACCCTCTTCAGCGCGGGGCGGCCGCTACCCCCCGGGCCCGCCAGGCAGCAGCTGGGCTGGTTCTCGCAGTTGCTGTCTCCGCGGCGGAGGCGCTGGAGGAGGGCGGAGGACGGCATCCGCCGCGGGTCTTCGGTGCCCGCCGAGATCCGAGCCAGGAAGGGCGGCGGCGCCGTAGTGGTAACCATGGTGGGACGTGGGTACCCAGAGTTGTGCCGGGGAGAGGGGTCGAGCCCAGGCGGGGATGAGCGGGTCGGGTTGCTGGGGAGTGTCTGCCCGGGCTTTGTGACGGGCTGAGGAAGTGGTGGTGCAACCGGAGCCGCCGCTAGGAGAACATGGCGGGGGAGTGAGGAGAGCCGCCAGCAGCTCCCCGGTGTTGTTACCCGGGCGCGACCCGCCCACTTCCGCCTGCGCGCCAACCGCCGTTCGCTCACGGCGCCAGCACCACCCCTCCCCGCTGCGCCCGGCCAATCGCGGTGGAGCGGCGGCCTCTCTGCCCTCGCTCCAGCCAATCGGAAGCGACACAAACACTCGGGGCCACGCCTCCCTTGGGGCCGCCCAATCCGAGCGGGCACGCCCTCGGCCTCCAAGTCACGGGCTCGCAGTGCGCTGCGGGCGGGCCGTGCTCCACCGGCCAATCGGGATCCACACGAGCAGCCGAGGCCGCACCCCCGGGGGCCCTGCAGCCAATCACGGGAGACGTAAACAGGCGTCGGCGCGCCCCCCGGTGGGCGGTGGCGGCGGGCGGGCACGCGTCGCTCGCCATGGAGGAGCCGGGCCCGGCCGCTGCGCCGCCGGAGGGGCGGGACGAGCGGAGCCTGGAGGCGCTCAGCCTGGCTGGTGGCGGAGGGGCGGCAGTGGCGGCGGGGCGGCAGCTGCCGGAGGGGCGGAGAGCGACGCTGGCGAGCGCCCTGGAATTGGAGGGGACGGTGCTGCGCGAGGGGCGCCTCACCCAGTTCGTAGCCAACAATCTGGAGCGCCGGATCCGGCTGAGCGGCGCCCCGCGGGGCGAGCCTCCGGCGGGGGGGGGTGGGTCCTCCATCCCCGCCATCGACCCCGGAGCGCTGCAGGACGTGGTGGCCCTGGCCGGGCAGGTGGCGGCGCAGGTGGACGAGCTGCTGCGGAACGTGCACTGCGGGCTGCAGGCGCTCACGGCGCTCAGCGTCGGCTGCATCCAGACCTACCGTGACGGCGTGGAGAGCCTGGGCGAGGCGGCCGACCTCAGCATCCGCGCCATGTACGCTCTGGTGGCGCGCTGCGAGGAGCTGGACCGCGCCATGCAGCCCGTGCCCGCCCTGGCCAAGCGCATCCGTGACATGAAGGGCACGCTGGAGCGGCTGGAGGGGCTCTGCAAGTAGCTTCTTCCGCCGCCGCCCCTCCTGTGCCGGCCGCGGGGGCCTGGGGCTGCTGCGCTCTCGCTCCGGCGGCCCAACCGCTCACGGCGTCCGCAGCTCCGCCTGCACGTCCTCGCTCGCTCTCCCCCGTGCGTGACTTGCCGGCATCAGTGGCCAGATCGCCTGTGTTGATCTGGACGAAAGAAAATTTTTGCGACCGACGAAGGAAAAGATCCCTGTTGAAAACCGCGGGGTAAATGGCAGATGGTGCTTTTTAGCTTCAGCTCCATTAAAGAATTTGGATTCCACATGCCTTACGCTTTCTTTTTATTGAGGGCTAAGAGAAACTAACGAGTCTTAATTAAAGATAGCTTAAATCAGATTCAAAATTCTTGTGAGTACCTGCATGATGCTTTCAGGCATATGCGCTTATTTGTAGTTGATTTGGTACCTGAAGAGTTAATTCTCACCTATGTTGTTACAGCAAATAAACTCACAGAACACCACTGTTTCTTACTGGACACAGTTTTAAGATAAGAGTAAGTTTAATACATACAGCAAAGACACTTGTTTTCTGAGAACAGTATAAAGTCCATGGAAGATAATTGAGGTTCAGATAAGCAGAAATCCATAAGCAAAGTTCTAAATAAAAGCCTTCAGATGAAATGTGCTTTGCCTCTACTAATCTTTACAATTTTCACAGTGTAAAAATTTAAATGGCATCACTGTGAAATGACCCTGTTATTTTGTAGTTTGCTTTTTTGTTGTTGTTTTTGTTGTTTTTTTCCTTTCCAGTTGGGAAAATATCTAATTACGTGAGGAATACGAGTACATGATGACATTATGTGGCTGTATGACTGACAAAAAATGACTGCTTTGGAATAATTTATTTGTATAACTTGAAGCTCTTGTATACGCATCACAGTGTGCAGAAGTGATTCTGTTATATCAATGGGTGTTTCCTCTGAGACCTGAGAGTAGCTGAATGCTCTACTCACTAATGTTCCCATGCAAAAAGCCTCTTAGATGATGCTCTTAGCAATCCATTTAGGTCACAAATGTCCCTGTAACAAGATTTCAGCAGAAAAATGATCACGGTGGTCTTATATAAGTGTAATAGTGCTTTTGGTGACCAGCGGCTCCTAAAAACTTTGGAATGAAGGTAGCCAGAAATACTGCTCAAGTCCTGTACCTGTGGTTGAAGAGCCGACAGGTTTACGATGGACAGGGCTTCTACCCCACTGTAATCTCGTTAAAAACATCAAGTGAGGGATGGGCACTGTGATACCCTGTGCTTGTGCATGCGGACCATACTGAATTGCAACAAAATAATTCATGTTAATGCCACCGTGGTTTGCATGATGCCAATGTCTGGCCTGTTCTGAGCCCCTTGGCATGGCCATGTCTTTCCTTTGGCACAGGGGTGTGTTTCATGTGTGGCCTTATAGCCCTAGCAATGGGACAAGACTGGAATTGGGCTTTGCCCCAAGGTAGGGCTCTCTGGTACTGTCTGCTGGGGAGTAGCCGTGGCTCTAGGGGAGGACCAGAGGCCTAACAGAAGTTAGAGGGGAGAAAAAGACCTTTGCTGCTGCGTCCCACGGGCCTAGAAGACATTAAAGATTGCTTAACACCACAGCAACAGCTGTACTTTTAATGGCTTTGTTATTCCTGGGAAAGTTTGAACTCGTCTATTATGCAGATGCAGTAGTTTTGCTAAGTGTGTTTGGTATAAGCCAAGAGTGAACACCAAAGGTTGATCTTGCGCAATTTGTGAGTACTGTTGAAATATACAGGAAAGACCTGCAAGCTTATTTGTGTAGCCACATATGCACAGCTACTCTTCACTCACACAGGCTAAGGTGAAGCCTTTAAAGTGTTTCAGTACACTCCTGGGTTTTGAAAGTGTTTAATTTGCAGTCATCTTCATTCAATGCTAATTCCCTACTAAAATTGTTGAGTCTGTAGAATAAAGTTATTACTTTTATGTTTTAATTGTTAGTGATTAGTTGTTGTTGAGGTGTTTCACTTATTGTGTTTCTTACTTGGAAAAATAATTTGAAAGCTAATTTAAACTCTGCTCTTGCATCTGCACAGAGACTTTTTAATGTGATTGCAGATCTGGTTTCAGTCTAGGTCCTCAGGCAATAATTTCTGACAGTGATGTCATTCATGTGATGAAAAAGGAACGACCGACTAGTGAATTGCAAGCATGAAGAAAGCAGTAATTATACTGTTTGGGTTTGGTTTTTTAATATTTTTCTGAACACATCAGCATTTTTGAAGGGCAGATTTAACTGAACTTGTTTAAGTGACTCCTGTTCCCCAGTGTCTGCTTTGTGCCTTTGCCATTCCTGGGGTAGGCACAGCCGAATTGATGCCAGCATGTTCTGTGCCCCCACAATCGGTATCGGTTGGTAACCACATGGCTGCCGTGGTTTCCAGCCGCCCTGTCCATAGCTGCCCCCGTTGCTGCAGGAATGGTGACACTTGCCAGCATCTCTGTCAGCACAGCTCTAGTGTCAGCCCTGCCTTGAAATCCCGTGTGAACTGCCTGTGAGCTACGTGCAGCTCTGTAGCTTCTGGTGAAGCCGGTCCTTCTGCAGCCATACACTTCTGCACTGCCTTTTTGATCCTAGTCCAGGCTTTCTTGTGCATATCCTGTATTAATGCTAGCACCTTTCAGCTTTTGGATGTCGAGAGTGAAAACTTTCAAGTTCTTTTAGCCTTTTTTGCTTAGTGTATGGAGGAGCAGTGTAAAACCATGTTTGGATTTTCCAAGACATTCAAATGGCTTGCATATATTTCCTTGCTTAGTCACTCAGCTTTACAATTGGTTGCTTTCCTTATCAGCTGCTAAGTGAACTTTCATTGTAACAAGATGGGCAAGGCCAGGGAAGAAAATTAGCAAAATAAAATGATGTGCTTAGCACTAAGCAAAGCCAGATGCAAAATTAGCTGTGGACTAGGAATGACTTCTCTACTCTGAGAACCACCACTGACTCCATTAAGATTTGGCTTAGTCTGATAATTTTTTTTTCAAGTGTAAAGTCTGACTGTGGAAATCCTTTTTTTGATTAAGGCATGGTTGGTCCTGCTTAATTTAGTGCATTTTTAGTCTTCCCTCCTTTGTGAGGTTTTTCTATTCCCTGACTCTGATCCAGTTCCATATCTGTGCTATTTAAAGAAGCTTTACCAGATAAAACCTTACTACAGCTGAAAAAAATCTTGTCACACAAAGCAAGAATGAACTTCACCAACAATTCACCTTTTAGACTTTTTTTCCTGTGTTGCTTAACTGCATCAAATGTTCAATAAGTAAATAGGTCAACTTTGTGTGTGTCTTGTTTCTAAAATGCACAAAATTTTTGGCTGCAATGTGCAGCTTTTTGGTGGTACTTATTCCCATGAGTAAGGTCTTGACTGAGTTACCAGTGTGAGGAACAGCATGAGAGTTGAATCCAAGAGCAAACTTCTTAGCATTACAGATTAAACTATTTTGAAATGGTTTCAAACAGCATGCTTATACTACCAGAAGACAAAAAATTGCAAAGCTTCCAAATTATCAACAGCTCTCCAGAGGAGTAAAATCAGTTCTTCTAGCAAACTGTATTAGCCAAAGAGACCTCTTGCAATAAGGTGTCATCCAACATGAGACAGGTTCTGGCTGTCAGATGCCACACTACCTTGTCCTGATCAACCCTAGTGTGTACTCTAAACAACTCTTAAAAGAACAGCAGATCATGTTTATGATACGGTCACAACCTGGTTTATTGCCTGAAAATTACTTTGAGAAAAGAACATTCCTATCAAAATTATAAATTAGTCTAATTAGTACTTTTTTGTGAGCATTGTCTGTACTTCTGGCATTGTCCCCATCCTGGAACCTCCTACCATGCATGTAAGAGCACGTATGGAAAATCCGTGACACTTCTCTTTTAGAAAGTTTGACGCAGTAACTGCATCAGATGCAGGAATTGAAACACGACTGAATTTCACATCTGCACCTTCAGCTTAGTGCCTCAGGAAAACTTGTTACTGTTGTTCTCTGTTGTTTGAAGCTCCAAAACTAGAGATGTGATCAATGGACTTGAGCCCTGAGCTTCCACCTTAGCAGTCAAGATCCTTGTGCCCCCTGTTGCAGTAACATTACCCTTGTAACAGGAAAAATTATAACCAAAATTTGAAACCTTCCTGCAGTTCTGATTCCCTTCTACTATTTACATGTGTTAGAAGCCATGCAACAAACAAACAAAAAACTCATAACCTCTTCACCCAAAAACTATTAACTGATCCTCTTCCCAAGTCTGAGAGAATATGAATAGGTTTGCTGGCAGGGTTGGACTGTCATGTGCATTGGCCAGGATGCAGCAGCACTGCATAAGTGGGAGAGCAGAAAAGCAAAGGTAAAACGACCTTGATTATTTTCCTAGATTACAGCTACAAAGTGCTGCTTGTTTCCAGAATTTGAGTTAACTTTGCTGTGATTAATTACTATGAAGTACCTTTGTTGAAAGTAGATTTTTATCAGAGAAGGGTAATAATTTATATCAGTGTTTTTATTTTTATGAATGCTGGAGAGGTAAGAATCCTAGAATTTTATCCAATACTGTATTTCTTGTCTCATTGTCACCAAGGAAGTTTTTCCCTTGTTTTCTTTACAGACAAGTTGGAAAAATTCTCACCACTGAACCTGCTTTCAAGACAAAGAGCCATGCCCAGTGAGTTGTTCAGAAGGGTTTAGTTAAGAACTTCTTTGTCTAGAAATACATGTAAATTAAGGGAAAAAAAATTCCACAAACTTGCCTAATCCGGGGTATCTGGTTTGTCAGTGGGATTATTTTACTACACTCAGTAGCTGAAAATTCAAAAATTCCCAGGTTGAAATCTTAGATTTTTAATAAGTGAATTTCTTTCAATATCCTAATATCAGCAGTGAAGTTTACCAGTCATTTTCACTCTAATAAGATCTTTTCTCGTCTGAACTTGAGCTGGTGCCACTCAAGGAAATGCTAACCTGAAAATAAACTCCTTTAAAGCCAAAGTATCATTTGACTTTGTTCCACTTTCTGTTTTCACTGCCTATGCAATTTGTTTACTCAGTGGATTTTTTTCCAGGCTGGGACTTTTCCAGTGACGTGTCCTTAGCTGGAAGGTGAGGGAAGTTTCTCACCACTGAGCAACATTGTGATTTTCCATTTTCCAAAACTTCCTTGTGTGCCATTTATAGTTGATGATACCAATCTAGTTTGGTTTTGTTTCCCTCTTTAAAGAAAGAGATGTGCAACTACAAGCCTTTTATCTCTCCTGCTCCGCTGCCATCAGCTTTCTTTTGTCTGCTGAGAGGAACTGGAAAGTTACAACTGTGTCCCCACCCCCTCTTTCCCTCTCCCCGTTGTTCACCATTTTCGACAGCCACCAGCTGTACCCCATTTCCCCTGGCAAAACCTTGTTCTGGACCTCATCAATTCTTGGTGCTATTCTCTGATCCCACTTATCTTCTGTCTGCAATTGCACGAC